TATATATTGTATATATTATTATTATATGTAACAGCCTGGATAAATTGGTGAGGTACTTACACTGGGTTTTGACCGTTGGTTCTTAGAATGATGCAGGCAGGAGTAAAGATGTATAGAAGCAAAAAACACACATCAAGAGAGATACAGAAGAAGACAGACATCAAAAACATTTGTAAGGAAAGTGACTCAAAAGTTTTGGATAATTTCATTTAGAAAAAATTTGGAACAAGAGAGGACACAGTGAAAGATTAGTGATTAGTACCTAAAGGAAAATTAGATCTGCCTAAATAATCTTTTTCTTCAGAAAAGAACAAGAGAGTGAAAGGGAGCTCATTTAAAATTATAAAAAGGAATTTAAATTTTTTTGCACAATAAATCTATATGGAATTTTAATCCTTAAATATGAATGGTGCGCAATACAGAAAGTTTCTGAGAGAACTAGAAGTAAAATATAAACTAAAGAATCCTGGGTCACATCTGTATCAGAACTTAAGCCAACTGTTGACAATAGCTAGAAAAAAAATGCTGATTATAAACATGTTATCAAGCATTTATTTTTTATCAGGTGTTTGGGAGCATCTGGTGCTGGGACACCAGAATATCACACTAGCCAGGTATTGGTCATAACCACAATGTCACCACTTACAACCGCCCCAAATTCATCACTAGATTCAGGAAGTTCAATGTTCACACTAATACATCAACTGCTAATTTATTTCACTACTTCTTTGTTCTCTGAAAACCTTATGAATTCAGGCAGTGTTTCAGCTTTAACATTAAATGGTTTTTTTAAGTTTAAATTTAAACTTAATCCCTTAGGGATGAATTAACAGCTCACTGAGCAGAAATTTAGCCAAGTGGCTCCCATTTACGTGAATGAAAGTCATGCAGATAAATCCACATATGACATACTAAAGATGTGTCCATTATTTTTAGTCCAAAATATTTTCCACTTTATTATTATTATTAGCCATGCACAGCTAATCAGTTTTATTCTTTATTCTCCTCCGACACTTAACTCTGATTTTATTTAAATGGCTAGCAGTAAACGCACTGAGGAGGGGCCTCTCATCATGCCAGTTTTAGAACCATGGAGCTGGTTTACTCTTTTTGAAGATGATTTGAAACCCACTCACCTTAACCAAAAAAGGCTTTAGTTGCATAACAAAGGACAGAGCTTCACACTTTATGAAATCCCCATCACTGTTAATTTGGTTAGAAATCTGTACATTCTGCTGCAGGAGAATGTAGGCCAGATTCAAACAGAAGTCTCAATTACTTTGATTTACTTGCAAAAAACACCAGAAGGAAGCATAAGGTAGTGAAGCAAAGAAGGTGTTTGTAACAGTGAAACTGAATCCTGCAGACCCCAGTCCGCTTCTCTTGCCAGGCTGATTTTGCCTAACAGCTATCCTGGAGCTTCATTCACTGAGCTCCTGGACCCGCCAGAGCTTTTTGTCCTGCACATGGGCATGCTTGTCCTCAACAGTAAAAATGCAACTGGAAATCACTTAAAAGTTGTCTGGCATTTCTGAGCTCACCAGTATATCTGGATGAGAAAGACAGGCAGGCAAATTTTCCAGAAGCAATAAGCTCCTTTTTGGCTTTGTAGCCAGTGCCTTGCCATGCTGGAGTAGCTGTGTGCCAGCAGCTGTGGGGACACTAATGCCCAGAGTGTTAGTTGAAAGAGAGGCTTCTAGTCCAGAGAGATTTCAAGACTATCTTCTCCTTATGCTCTTAATGTTTTTTAGTTCCCTTTTAGTTCCTATTCAAAGCCTCGCACTGTACTCATCACTGAGCACTCCCTCTTAGTATCACAGGACTAATAGCTATCATGTGTAGCCTTTAATTTCCCCAAGCTGTGAGTGCTGCTCCAGTTCCCTGAACAGACTGTACAGCTCTTTCCTATCATGTCCAATTGTAAGAAGTAATGCAACAGCAGGGAAAATGAGAAAATGAGAATGCCACGGTAAGGGGTATCTTTTTCTATATTGCCCTGGGAAATATTTGCTAATAACAAGATCCCGGGTCTTTTTTATAACCTGGAAGTTTGCCATAACTTTACCAAAATACTCAGCAGTTTCCAGAAGTAAATGGGTTCATGACTTGAGTAAACAGATAGTTTTATGGGTGGGTTTTTTTTTTGCAAAAGCCTTGTGATGCTTTGTGGTTTTCCACGTCTTCTGGGTTTGCTTAAGACCAGAGCTCAAGGACAAATAGTCATGACTTTACCATATAGTGTCACAAGCCCTGCAAACCAAACAGGCCAAGTGCTGGCAGTGTCTCAAAACATCTCTCAGGCACAGTCTACCAGAAGTGATACTGAGTTAAGTGGCAGGGCTCTGTGCAAGGGAAAGACAAACCAATACATGGAAATGGATTCAGCACACCTTAATCAAATGCCCACATCTAATGCTGTCTAACTTGCTAAAGAGGAGCTGAAATGAAAGTGTGTTTTCCATTGCAGTGCATTCCTTTGAAAATGCCTGGAGCTGCTCTTTAAAGAAGGGGGCTCTAAACCTGGAGATCACCCAGCCAGAGGAGGTGTGGGGGAACTCAGGCCAGGACTCAGTTCAGCCCAGGCTGCAGCTGTGCCATCCACCCAGCATGCACATACCTCAGAGAAACAAGAAATCAGTTT